TTTCTGGAATGCAATTCAAATGGTTCGGGTGTTTCTCGTAAAGCGGTGGGTGAGCAGATAATTGAGATAGGTGTTTAGGTTTATGTCAAAACGTTCGGCGGTATCATCAGTCGCACTGACGAGTACGTTTTTAGGTCTGCGGTCATCCATCCGGCCTTCAATTTTATTACAACATTATATCAGGATGCACTCATGGTCAGTAGAATCCTTGCCTATAGCTTCGCGGACCGGAGGAGAAAACTGAGATTGACTCGCCTTTGTCGGGGGAGAGGCGGTGGCTCGGAAAAGGCCCGGTATTAAAGTCTACTTGAAAATAAATTTCTGGGGCAATCGAATGCCATGTACTAGGTTACTGTTTTGTACCGCTGTTATGGAGTTTTTGAATTCGTCTTCACTGGAGAATCTACGCCAATGCGGAGTGATTTGATGACGTCTATTTTACGGAGGAACATTACAGATGTGTCGGACCATTTGGGAGATTGTAAGGCCCCGACAAAAGCGCGTATGTCTACGTACGACTGAGCGGCAGTAGGCTATTAGTAGGCCTCGGTGCCGTCCTGTATGTTCGCGGGTAGAGTGTCCTTGAGGATAGTGTAGCGGGTGCTGTCAGGGCTCACTTGAGTCGTACTATAATGAAGACCTTGGAGTTGCCGTAAGAGTTACGGTAGACGAGTACCTTGTTTTATTATTGTACACATTCGAGTTCACCGTCTGTTGAAATGGTGTAATCGATGCTGGTGCAATATTTTATAGTGGCGTCGCGGTAGCATTCGAGTCCGAAGAATCAGTCAAATGACGGATCTGTCTTTGTGACTCAGTTAGCCGGTACGCGAGTTTTGCAAATAGTTTGAAATCTGTATATGAGCGTGATGGATCTGGACTCGTAACGGTGGGAATGGGACGCGAAAAAATGATGGGCAAAAGGGTAAGAATTGAAAGCGCGTGAGAGTGGTGCATAAGAATGCTGGGGGATCGGAGGTAAGATACAGAGCGAGAAGTAAGGGTGAGAGGTAAAGCGCGAGCGTGTCGCATGGGAGGCCAACTGCGGAACGGAGGAATGCTCAAAGGCGGTTTAGACGCGGCCAGAGCTCGCTTTGATTTGGCTATACAGACTACACCGAAAATTGATAAAAAAGGGTGGCTCCCAGCAAATTTTGTCGACGTGTATATACGTATACGGTCGTAACGGCGCGCGGGTAGGTAAGCGCCCTGAGAGAAGCCACGAGGGACCGGAGGCAAAAGCCGATGGAAGCAAGGCACGTGTAGCAAGTGCCTGTCATGCTAGATCCCCTGAGCCAAACAGTGAACGGTGACCAAGATAAGAAAATAATAATAATCCTTGAATTCCTTGTTGAGACGGAGAAGAAACCCAAATAACGTATTGCGTGCTCAAAGGCGGACCGCATGGGCGACATCAAGCAATGATGCAAGGATAAGAAAATAAATCCCGCCGGCAAAAAGCCCCGGACCCCCGGCTCGTATTATCCCATCACACACTCACAAACAACCCTCCTTCTCTCCATCCACCGTCGTCGATGGATTATTCATTTTTCCCTTCCCCGCCCGCCTCGTCCATTGACCAGCCTAACCAGGCCTACCCACCGTTTCCAACGTCCAGCTCCAGCAGCAATACCCCTACCTCGACACAGCAACAGCAGAACGGCCGGGAGAGCCTGTCGTTGAATCTCTCGTCGCTTTCTGTCGGCTCATCGCCAGCTTCTCCAGCGCCGTCTCTTCAACGAACTGAAAGAAAACGCTCTTTTACTAGCAGCACAACACCGCCTCCAACAGACGACGACCAGGATCAGGATATGGAATCGTCACCAACAGAAGGACCACCCGGATCAGCGACCATTGGTGTGCTGGGCAAGCCAATGCCGACCAACAACTTTGTTACAAAGTTGTATCAGTACGTACTCCTTTTTCCTTTCCCAATGCAATTCCCAATACTAAGTATGGTAGAATGATTTCAGACCCTAAATCCGCGCATTTTATTGCGTGGACTGAACTCGGGACGTCGTTTGTCGTGTCAAATGTGGGAGAGTTCAGCCGGAGCATCCTAGGCAGCCACTTCAAGCATAATAACGTGCGTGTTACTGAAATATCTGATGGTAGCAACAGCATTTGACACTGCCAACGTAGTTCTCGTCGTTCGTGCGACAGCTCAACATGTACGGCTTCCACAAAATCAATCGCACGCCTCGTGCACAGCGTACTTCTACCGACTCTCAGACTTGGGAATTCTCGCATCACAAGTTTTTACGGGGACGTCCCGACTTGCTCGATGAAATCAAGCGCAAAGCACTAGAGCCCGATTTGGGCGCGAAGCATAGAGTCGAGCTGCCGGGAGAGGTGAGCATTCTTCCATTGCCGCGTTCTTTTCGCCTTCGTACCGGGATTTTCCATGGCATTTATTCTCCTCCTCGGATTATTATTCATTCCTTTTCTTCAGGTCGCCGCTCAACTTGCAGGCATGCGCGACGATAACCGCCGTATGTGGGACGCCCTTGTTCACGAGCGCCGCAAGGTAGAACGCCTTACCAACGTTGTCGCAAGATTATGGGACTTCGTTGGCAAAGGTTTCCCAGGTAGTCGTGAGTACATCTCTTTCATTTTGACTTTCTTTCGTTTTTGCTTTCCCTCTCTTCTACTTCTTCAATGTATCCGCCAGTTCCATTTTACACGTCTCCGTTGTGTATTCTCGCGTCCTGCCTTGCTCCGTCCTTTCTCGCCACCCACTTTTCGCCTCGTTTTCCGCGCGCTTTATCCCCCCACGCCAAAGCAACGCCGTCCCGAATGCTTTGACTTCTCCTCTGTTGCCAGTTACCTCCATATGTTTACCGTATGTTTTCGGCGCCTCCACTGCGTTATATTTCCCTTCCGATTCTCCATGCGCTCACCTACGTTACGCATATATGCGGATGCTTTTGCTACCTTTACCATTCCCAGGCCCCCGTATCCATTGTGATTCTTCTTCAGTACATCCTGTTCTTCCTATCTTTGCTTTCTCTATTCCCATTTACTAGGATCTTGTCTGGCCTTCTCTTTTACGTGTTCCGTTACGCATTCCTGCTCACCAGTTTTTCACATTCTCATGACACGTGCCATTCGTACTACCTGGTTTGCTGCTGCTTTCCTCATGGTTTCGGCGTCCTTTCCGCGAGCGCCTGCTTTTGCCGCTTTGCCTTGTTTGCCTTCAAATCCGTGCCTTAGCTGTACCTTTGGTCTTCTGCCCTGGTTCATCCGGTTCACACGTCTCCTTTCTTCTGTTCGCGGTACGCCCCTCCGCTGGCGTGATCCTTTCTTCTTGCCGCGCCTCTACGAGATTCCTCTCTTGTGTCCAGCATCTTGATGCGCGCCTTGCTGCTCTTTACGTATTATTTTGTCCTTCGTCACCTTCCTACATTTTTTGACCGCTGTTATCGATGTTCACATTCTTCTAAATGTTTCCCTGTGTTATCCCCAATGCCCTTATTCCGCTTGCTGACACAACTTTATAGTCCCTCAATTCCCAGCGGAGTTATCCGAATCGCCGTCGCCGTCCTCGCCAAACCCGCCCCAACACTTTTCCAACCACAATCATAACCATAACCATATGTCCTCCATTTCACCTCATCCACACTCCTCTCTTCCCTCACCTAACCCTGGAATATACATCACGTCACCTGCTCCACCCCCAATGCTGCAGTATGCTGCGCATCCTGGAGGTGGTGATCGCAAACGTCCGCGGATTGATACGTCTTCAAGTTTATTGGGCGTGGGGATGGGCGGTGGTATTTCAAGCGGTGGTATGGGCAGTGCCGGTACCCATTCACCCGGAGGTATTCTCTCCGCCCCTCCACATACCATCCCTGAAGAGGTGGTGAATGTTCGTAATTCGAAAAAGTTCTCGACGAGGGCACGAAGTGACTCGGCTCCCCTGGGTCATCAACACAGCTACTCTCAAGGCGGAGGAGGGTATTATCAGGGGCCTGGACCAAATTCCTGGGGAGTGCCCCAGGATCTGATCGGCCGGCCCAGAAGCGGGAGCGGGTTGGTCGGCGGGGGAGGAATGCAGAATATTGGAAACTTGGGTCGTGACGGGATATAGCGTAACGCGTGTCCTGTGGCGGCATTTTCGCGGAAGGAGTATGCTCCGAATTTGTTCCTTTGCTTCCTTTCATTCCTTCAATTTGCCTTGTTTTTTTTTGGACATTCATCTATCGGACTGATGTGTATTATCCTTACCTCCACGTAGAGTTTCCAGTCGCGCGCGCCTCCATTCCCTCTTTCGCTTCCGCTTTATCTCGTCCGTGGTTCATTCCCTCATTCTGTACCTATACCATGATCTCTCCACGCTCTTTCATACCTCCCAATCCTCTCTGTTTACCCTTGCACCTCATCCTCATCATCGACCACATACACCACCCTCCTCCATTTCACGCGCACAAAAGGCCACCATTCCATCTCTGACGCGCCAGGACCCGAAAAAAATCATAGATCTCTAGGCCACTCTCTCGTTCCACCTTTGGATCCTCCCACGCTTCGCACGCCCGTGTAAATAAATCACACGTGTACATATACGTCTATCCGCTCTGTTTCGCTATCGTTTGCTTAGAGTTTTTTTTTCCCATGCCCACGAAATATCAAACATCATTGGAATACCTTCTCCGGGTTCTTCTTTTTCACTTTTATTGTGTTGAGGGGCGGACACTTGTATGAAGTTAGACACCGGCGGCAGGGGTTTTTCATTCAAGCTTTGCTTTCGTCCTCTGTATTATTGCATACCATTCGCCACTTTGGGTCCATATTTGCATTATTTATCGATCTTCATGGACTCATCTTCTCGTTGTTACTTGTTGCATCTGCGTTCTGTATCACTAGTCTTGTTTTCTTGTGGAAAATGCGTTTGAAGAGAGAGATTGTGTGAATGGTGTAAGAATCTGAAGTTTGAGTAATAAAAATTGGTGCAGGATGCAGATCAAGGCTGTACATATAATCAAGGCAGACATAATGTGTGGGTCGGTATCGATTAGGGGTTAAATCACTTCGTTGTGGTTAGTAATTCCGAAGAGCCGCAGGTTCGATTCCTGCTACCGACATTTTTTTTTCAACGCTTAATCTCGAATTTCAATTTTCCATATTGAATAGCGGCGCGCTAAGCGTAGACTCTCTCGCGCTGCGCACACGAAGTCCCCAAGGGACGACTTAACGACTCTTGGTGTCTTGATACGGTTATAAGGTCTCTTGATGGATCTGACCTAGCAGTCACCGCAACCTCATATGTTCTGCTATGCCATTTCGTCTTCAGCTTGTCAGGCAACCCTTGCCGGAACACTAGGGTAAATCGCTGCAAGCAAAACTCTTGCCCCCTTCGGTCTTTCAGATCCAGAAGTCACCTCCTTTTCATAGGTGTCTATAGTAGCGATACTATGGTGGAATGTCTCTGTAAGACGGAGTAATACTTATTGGCTTCTGACATTCACCAAGCAAAACTAGACTACCTAAACGGATGTCTAGATTAATGGCACAGCTGCGAGGGATTTATGGACCAGGAGCGCCAAGGAGCGTACATAGCCGACATGACTTGCACCGTCAAGTGTGCCGACTCGCCGTATAGTGTTAGAATAATAACAGCTCAGTCAGTCACACGTAGTCGTAGTGAACAGCTGTATTAGATACGCTACCTGTTAGAATAATAACAGCTATAAGATGTAGCGTAAGAAACAAGTAGTAGTGGATAGTAGAAACAATATACGCACCTCAGTCAGTCACACGTAGTCGTAGTGAACAGCTGAGGTGCAAAGAGGGGCGAAACGAAAGGTATATGCGACGGTACTAGGGGTAACGTTCTAAATATAGTAAGTAAGATCGGAGAAATAAGAACGAGTACCAGTCGGGGTAGGCTGAATCCTCAACATATAGAAGTCCCGCAGAGCAGGTAACACTCGAGTAGGAGGAGTAGTAATCTTGGGTAGAAGTGATCTAAACATAAGAGCGAATTTTAAGCGCCGAGAAAAATAGGTGACAGGAAACGATAACGGCTGGTCTCCCAGTTGAGTCACGGCTTGGAGGCGCCATCGGGAAAGCAATTTTCTCAGCGCGTCAAAACGCATCACCACATCATCTATGGTGGGTCGCTCAGAAGGATTTTCCTTGACCATATCTTCTACAAGCGGCCGTAAAAAGTCCAGACCTATTCTGGTAGGATTGCAGTGTTCTTTGGTCTAAAAGCGTTCAGGATCAGGATAGTGGGATAGTGTGGTCTCATCTAGCACGTACATCCAAGGTAGTATATATCGGTAGGGAACGGAATACATTCCATCGGCGCCTCAGGATTGCAGTGTCCTGGTGCCGTTTTGTCCGCGCCCCGAAGGATCCACTCATTGGGAATACCATCTGCTGGATCATATCGACGAGCATGTCCAAAATCATGAGGTAGTATCGGGGCCAGCACGCGGTGCGTGTGCAACTCGGGGAAACGTGACCATTGAAGTCAAGCTTCATGAAAGGTCGTTCGGGAAGAAAACCTTTTGGATACATTTTCGTAGGATCCAGCATGATGTTCATGAGCGTGCAATCACTCCGAGTGGGCGAAGAGTCAGATAATTAGGCTCTCTGAGAACGATTGGACTCACCGGTGAGCAACGAGATGTTGCTGCATAAACTGAATGCCCTGCCATCGCGTCGATCAGTACGAAAGAAGAACCGAAAAATACTATACGCACTTCAAATACTTGTCTGAAACATTCAACCACTTCTCCTACCGTATCAAATGGGGGATCCCGGAAGAGTCGTAATATCGGGAGCACAAGAATCGCATGGTTGTCGTATTTCAGGACCTCAAGGACGGGAATGCAATGGTTTCTTGGATCAAGCGAGAGAGGTGGAAACGAGAATAAGACTGATATTTCGAATTCTGGTTGTGTATATCGTAGTTAGTACTCGTAGTACCGATTGCCACCACAGTGTACGTAATGCCTGGAACCGGCGTTCACTGTGTGGACACTGCCGTGTAATACTACCTACCTACCTACCTACCTACCTACCTGGTGATCCTATTTCAACACTCTTCAGGATAACAGGCGCATTATCACTTAGCTGTACAGCAGACACAAGGAAATGTCGCTACGAGGAGGATGAGAAAGATGATTTTTAGAGGTCGCAGAGGTGTAAGTATCGGTAAGCGAGATATAGCCTTTCTCTCCTCAATTGCATTTGTCGGTTCCCAGAACTTGGGTGGTAGCCTGTAACCTGATTGCTCGAGGAAGTGCCTTGTGTCAACCCAGAATTGGTCAAGAACAGGATCGATGATAAGTATACTAGGAAATAGCCGCCCTTGGGGTTGCCCAAGGCTTTGCCATCGGTGTGGTCGTGGACGATGTCGTCATTGTTGAATTCGGCAGTTGGCACACGTGTTCCTCACATCATCGGCGCCGGGCGGACGCGTCTCCGAGAGAACGTGCTGGGAACAGTCCTTCTCTTCTTACCACCACCTTCTCCTGCTGGGTAGTAGCTACCTCTCAATGTCGCGGCTACTGCTATGCTCTCCGTTCAGTGCAATCCTGTCTTTGGAATTAAGGACTTTCGTGGAGCAGCGCTCAGTTGCTGACCATACTAGTTGACATTCTTGAGCTTTCTGGCGTTATGTCTTTCTAATCAAGACAGTGACTCATAAATCTCTCGCTTACTGTGCTGCATTCTTGGCGACGGAATCGAGGAGGGTCTGATTTAATTTAGACCCACACGGAAAACGCCGAACATGATGACGAATGTCAAAGTGGAATTACCGAACTTTTGCTCACCAACCAGTTTCGAGTTCGATGAATAATCCACTTTCAGCGGTTGAATCATTTTCAGGGCGAAAATTTTCTGACAGGTATATAAGCAGCGAAAATGAAGAGAAAGCATCAACTCCCCTCTTCCGCACTCCACGCCTGTATCGTCATGGTCCAAGATATCTTCCGGGACTCTACCATTGGGCAAGCCATCAACTACATTTCGAATGGTCGCTTCTTTCCCTACGCCGACCAACGACCCGACTTCGAGGTTCCTCCACATTTCCTTCTTCCGTCATCTCAAAGACCGTCGACAATCGTGTCCCCAGATTCTGACGCGACAACGCTATGCGGTGACCTAGAAAAGTCTAAAGGTACATCAACACCGGGAGTACAACTCACGAGGGAGTCTACGTTAGCGGTGGATATTGACGCAGAGAAGCAAAAACAGATAGATGCTGCTCTTAGCTCTGATCCATACATAGTAGGATGGTACGGGGACGATGATCAGGATAATCCGAGGTTTGCTTTATTGCTGACTCGATCAAAAACATTATCTCAATTCTATTTTCAGAAATTGGTCTCCCGCGAAGCGCGCATTTGTCGCGTTCAGCATCAGCTTCTTGACCTTCAGCGTATACATCGGCTCAGCCATCTATACACCAGCTATTCCCGGTCTGATGACTGAATTCAATGTCTCTCAGACAACGGCTACTCTCGGTCTCACGCTGTACGTTCTCGGTAAGTTGTCCCGCGTCTAACTTCAGTCCACGCCGTCCTGACGTTCTTAATCAGCGTACGGTATCGGGCCTATGTTTTTGGCGCCCCTTCAAGAACTTCCGGGGATAGGTCGTAACCCGGTGTACATGGCCACTTTATTCCTATTCGTCATCTTCCAGGTACCTGTTGCCGTCGCCAAAAACATGAGCACCGTTCTGGCGTTCCGCTTCCTCACCGGGTTTGTCGGCAGCCCTGCCCTCGCCACGGGAGGTGCGTCCATGGCGGACGTCTACTCTACGCACCAATTCCCATACGTTCTGGGAATCTGGGCACTCGGAGCTGTCGCTGGCCCTATCACTGGTCCCGTTATTGGAGGGTTCGCAGCGCAGGCCAACGGATGGAGGTGGCCTCAGTACGAACTCATCTGGATCGCCGGTTTCGCTCTCATCTTCCTCCTGCTACTTCTGCCCGAGACCTACGAGCCAACAATCTTATTGAAACGTGCGCAGCGGCTCAGGAAGCTCACGGGAAACCAAGAGTTGAGGTCACAAAGTGAGAAGGATAAAGAGGGCGAGTCTCTTGGAGCGGTAATGCAGGAGGCCTTGATCCGTCCATTCATTCTTGCCAAGGAGCCAGTTTTGATGTTCGCAAACGTCTACTTGGGATTTGTCTGTGAGTAATACCTACCTATCTGTTCGGGTAAGATTCCTAATTGATGCCATTTCTATCAGATGCAATCTTTTACCTGTGGTTCGAAGCTTTTCCGCTTGTGTTTACCGACATCTATCATTTCAATCTGGGTGTCAGCGGTTTGCCTTTCCTGGGGTTTGTTGTATCCGGTGCCATCACAGTAAGCGTTGTTATTTTATTCGAGTCCTAGTTCTGACAGACGTTCTCTAGTATACCGTATATGTTTTCTATCTGAAATACCACATAGCACCTAGATTTGCCAAAGCCGCAGCTGCTGGTGTCGACATTGGCCCCGAGATCCGCCTGGAGATTGGTCTGATGGCCAGTATCTTCATCCCGACTAGCGTTCTCATTTTCGGATTCACTTCGAAGGAAAGCGTCCACTGGATCGTTCCCATCATCGGCGCTGCACTCTACCTTCCCGGCATCTACCTCACCTTCCAGAGTATCCTGACGTATGTGACTTCGGCGTATCCTACCTACGCCGCGTCGGTTCTCGCTGGCAACGACCTCTTCCGTTCCGCTATTGCTAGCGTCTTCCCACTATTCGGACGAGCATTCTTCGTCAATCTTGGTTTGGGCCCGGGCTCTGCCCTGCTCGCGGGCGTCTCTTTCCTGCTGATGCCTGCGTTTTGGGTATGTCCTCTATCCAAGCTTCTGTCATTTCACAAGCTAATCCTTTTGTTCTAGTCATTGTGGAAATGGGGACATGTTTTGAGGAGACGATCCGTGTATGCGGCCAGCCCATAAAAAGGACGACACTTCCGGCTACTTTCATCAGCTTTCGCTGCTGTCTTTGCATGCAGAAACGAACAATAGCTCCCAAAGAGCTTATTAAGACTTAGACTATACCAGATAGAACGCCCTTGCACGATAGAGTTATATCACTAGCTAACCGTATACCTTGTATTTCTAGACATAGGGTCAAATTGACTTCTTTAGAGCATGAACACGAAGATGTAATGAAATACACTAATGCAAAATATTTCATTGAGCGAACGGTTGTGTTGCGCCAAAGCAAGTTGATTGCTGTCAAGGGTGGCTTACAAGCTCTTACATGTGAAGAAACAGGACCACTGCGACACGTCCGGGGCGGGGGTTGTAGAATGTCTGCATCATGTTCGAGTCATGGCTTAGTCCAGGAGGTAGAGACACTGCAGCGCACTGTGACTGAGCCGCTCTGTTTCAGTGCTCGCAAGCGCGTGTCATGTGATCCCACCTACGTTGGTTCTCCTCCATCATCAGAGCCCCGTCATTGCCTCATTGCCTCACCACGCATATACCCAGAATGCAGCAGCGCACAGACCAGCCGCTGACAGGCTATAAACGGGGCGAACATCCACGACAACGCCGCTAACCCTTCTTCCTTCCCTCCCCCACCGTCTCTGCTTTCTCTCCCTTGCCATTGTTGCGTCCTAGATTCTCGACAAGTACCAACAGTAGGCGATTACGCGCACTGCTCTGTTGATCCTCTCCCAGCGGATCTCAACAGGATCCTTGGCGGCATACAATCGGTATGTCTCTTCCAAAGGAGCTTGCCAAAGACCTACTCAATGAGAATAAGAACAAGCTTGTCCGAACCGCTATCAGCGCCTGAACAATCGATCCAGTCCTGGCTTCCGCCTTGGATGCGGCATTTACAGAGGCGCTCTCAAAAGACCGAATCCAATGCCTCTTACGAAACCATTCACCACCGCTGTCGCATGCAAACGCTTTGGGGCATTGTTGTTAACGACGTTACCGATATTCAGGTCGAGGGCGAGGGCGAGGGCGAGGGACGTGAGAATAGTGCAGCGCATGCTCATCGGCTCTCTGCGTTTTGGTACGTGCATCTAACATATGTTTCTTCACCTTCTGACTTGGCAATGTAACAGTATAGGCGCGCGATCTCCGAGGACGCGTTGGCATAAGTCCCATTAAGGCAGTGGCCTTCCACGGTCCCTTCCCCGATTTCATTTACTGCTTCGCAAAATACGCCTGAGACAGAAATGACGACCACTGCAGCATGGCATTGCTCACTGGAGGAAGCCTTTTTGAAACATTAGACAACGATTACTGTGCCTGTAAGCTCTTTCTCTCCCGTCCTTTTTGATATGCCGCTCACAGCTGTGCAGGGGTTGATAAATTCAAGGTTCAGCGCAGCCCTAGCGACAAGATCGTGTATGGCAAGGAAGAAGTCAAAATGCTCATCGAAGAAGCGCTCAATGGTACCGGACGTAGAGGTCGGGACCTCGCCCATGCAGAACTGTCTTTTTACAGTTCTCTCCTCTATCACCGGCCATTTAGCTTTGCGCTGTCAGACAAGAAGCTAAAAAGGACGATAAAGGTGAGCTGTGTATATGTTTACTCCACTCTCATATTTATCTTGCACTGATAGTACCCAATCATTGAAAATGTCAAGATCAATCTCAAAAGGTCCTTTCAGTAGTCGACTTGTCATCAACCACCTTGAGGTGTTTGCAATGAATGCTGTCTCACACAATCGTTCAGGGACACAACGGGTGGCATCGCTGCCCGTGTAGGCTTCGCACTGCAACCAGTCAACTTGTATTGGTGCAACACCATCTTCGATCCAACGGTCTGGTTTGTGTTTCTTTATCGTGTGCGATGACCTCAATAAAGTCAAGGCGGGTACATTTTCTAATGTATGCCCAATGAGTCTGACACTTCTGCCTAGTCTGCCGACGTCGTAGAGAAGCACACTGATTTTTGTTACATTCAGACACAAACCTGACTGAAGCGGTCACTCAGTGCGTATCAGATCTTTTCTTAAAAAACCCTCACACCGATGTCTCTTGTTAGATTTCTCAAAGGGGCCTAGGGTCACTTTGCCGTGGAGGTAACCACGTCCGCAAGACACAGCAAAACTGCACAAAACTCCGGAATCGACCTGGAGACCCTCTTGATCATCAGCAACAACTCGAACTCGGATGTCGTGTACTAAGACTAGGGTCAGACCAAGAGACTTGTATCGGTGTCTGTGCTTAAAGACAGCGTTACGGAGAAACATCGCATCGATTCGTGTGGCCTTTTTTCTTTGATTTGTGAAATTATCGACGCTTCCTTTAGGTCAGAGAACGGCTGTGCAAAGCTTTTGAAGCCGAAATTCGGCATGCGCAGATAACTATGCAGAGAGCTCATCTTGAGGCTCCGACAAGACCAGCAAAAAATGCTCATCGGTTATGACTGCGGCTGCCTGGCAGAACGTCAATGGGTCTGCCGCCCAGCACGATCCCGAAGCACCTTCGTCCATTTTAGAGGACATTATTGCGTCTAAGGTGTCTACCACCACCTCTGATGATGCCGATAGCTTTCATCAGCGAGCAACCATGCACACTCGGAGTTCCACTGATATCATTAAGACCTAACTGCAGGTCTCTCGCACATTGATACTTACCCGTTACCGGCCCTCAGGTCGGTCTGCGAGGCCCGATTTACGGACAGTCATGGTTTTTTCCTAGTGCTACATATACTCAAGCTCAAAGTTCTGGTCAGCCCCTCGAAGCCAAGTGATCGGACTGGCTGGACTTGGAGCAGTGGGTCCACCAACGCCATCCGAGCGTAGTGTCTGGACTCTGAAAGTTGAACGATAGCCACGCATCAACAGCAAGGACTCAAGTTTCAACGGTTGTGAGGTGCAACGGAGGCGTCGATGGTGCCGCAGGGCATATTACATTCCCAACCAGAGCAGTAACGAGCGAGCGAGGGCGGTAGTTACACTCAGGTACACGACATTTTGGGACGAAAGGCTGAGCGTCATCACAGAATATGAATCTCCTTAAGCCATCACTGTTAGTGAGATGTCCGTGCGGTTGTGATGGTGGCCACCTTCAACGGTTCTTTCTTACCAGGCGTTGTGAAGCACGCTTCGGTGGAATATGTACTTAATTTTATTTGGTGAGCAACTGGTGAGATGACTGAGTGGTCAAGTTGATCAGAAATATCGATCGATTGGCAACGCGGTGATAGCAGTTACTCTTTCAATGGTTGTCTGCTAGGTACTGAGTAAAGAGCTCTGATCATTTTTGCCGAATATATAGGCTCATGTGCTACCACTATCATCTGGTGAGATGGCCGAGCGGTTAAGGCGCCAGACTAAGGTTATGCTTACGTAATCATGGATCAAATCACATGGTGATTACATCATCTGGTCCGAAAGGGCGTGGGTTCGAATCCCACTCTCATCATTACTTTTGCTTGAATGGCAAATGCCCACGACTTTTTGTTGTATACTGAAATTCAGAATTAGGAATCAAAATCAGTCTATCGTAGTCAAGGTTGACACTTCACAGTGTCCTGACTCTTGGTACAAAGATCCAAACCGTCCAAGTGCCTGTGAATTACTCCAAGGACCATATAAAGTTTTCCACAGACAAACGGTATCTTACCAGTAGGAAATCGACAACTTGAAGCGGTGCACGTGCATGATCCTTGAACCTTTCACTCTCTGTCTTACATACAGACAGCTTCGCTAGAATACAGTAGACTGGGACCACTCTACCGTATCAAGGATGTTGTCGGCAAGCCCTACTAACTCCCCATTTCAACTCTTCAATTTCAACATCTCATTTCTTTAGTAGATAGTGTTTGGAAACCCCGAGACTTAAGTCGCTGCGGACTACTACGATAACTACCCATCCCCCGCAGTAAGTACAGGAACCGTCTTCACTTTGCTGATGGGCCAATGAGACCTGTCGTGTAGAAGATCCACGTCCAAGGGTTATCAACCTTCTCTATTTGTTCTCTATTACACAAGTCGACGAGGAATGTAATACATTGGTTCTCTAAATATCGTAAGCCTTTGCGAATTCGCCTTCCCGCATCGACAAGTTGAAACTGACCACAACAGCAAAGGATTGGACACTTCACGTACTAGAAGCATACACCGATCGCCTCCGTAAGACGTGACCCCATTTCCACAGTGACTGGAGTGAAGAACATCAGTAACGTAGGCGGAGTAGAGCCATTCGACATACCCAAAACACCGGCATGAGCAAGAAAGAGATACCAGCCAAGAGGGCGGATCCTGGGCCTAAACCGAGGTTGACAAAGAATGCACGACCAAACAGCGGAAAGACGCTGGCAACCGTCGAGCGGAAGAGATCGTTTCCAGCAAGAACGGACGCGGCGTACGCAGGGTATGCACATGTCACGTATGTCAGGATGCCCTGGAAGATGAGGTAGATGCCAGGAAGGTAGAGCGCGGCCCCGATGACAGGTACAATCCAATGGATGCTCTCCTTTGCAGTGAACCCGAAGATGAGGACACTCATCGGGATGAAGATACTGGCCATGAGTCCAATCTCCAGATGAATCTCAGGCAAGAAGTCAACACCTGCTGCGCGAGCTTCCGCCAATCGAGGCGCGATGCGGTATTTTAGGTAGATAACATATGCAGTGTACTAGAAACATTGATTAGCATTAATGCGAATGAATGTGTGAATGGGCATACAGTAATTGCGCCAGAAACGATGAAACCGAGGAAGGGCAGGCCGCTGGCACCAAGACGAAAGTGGTAGATATCTGTAAAGACTAGCGGGAAAGCCTCAAACCACAAGTAAAATATCGCATCTGTTAAACAGAATACTGTCAATGGTACACAGCAGGAGGTGATATTGAAACTGACAGACAAAGCCAACGTAGAGATTCGCAAACATCAAGACAGGCTCTTTAGCAAGAATGAAGGGCCGGATCAGGGCTTCCTTCATCGCCGCCGCAAAAGATTCGCCCTCTGAATCCTTCTCACTCTGGGATCGCAGTAGCTCATTTCCCGTCAGCTTCCTCAGCCGTCGTGCCCGTTTTAACAAAATCGTGGGACCGTAGT